TCTTAAAAATAAAATTCATAATCAATTATACAAGAATAAAAATTGGTATCAATACAATTACATAATCAGATACATATGATAAGAATTAATGTGATAAGTATGATGACTATATTTTATTTTAATCAAATATTATCGATAATGGACAAAAATAAACTTGTTGAAAATTAAAACAATTTGTCTTCTAAAAGATAACATTTTTTAAAGTAGATTTTTAATTTATATTGAAACATATGTTGATATTAGAATAATCAATAAATAATATACCGAGTAATAATATATATCAAGTTTCAAAATATAAAATACTACTAAAGTCATAAAAGGTATTTAAATAAAATAATAATACCACAGTACTTAAACTGGTTACATAATAATTGAAAATTACATTATTTCTCTTGAGTGTTTACGTGTTTATATAATAAAATACATTTTTCAATTAATCACAAAGAACAACATTTACAGCTTTAATTGTTCCATTCCAGATAAGAAAATTAAAACATTTTTATAAATATCGAAAATTTTACCATTGGTAAAACGAAACCCTCATTGTAATCAGTGTGCTCTCCGATTAAATTTACACGACCGGGTGCACATACACAAACATTTGCATTCTCTCCAAATTCCTTTGCAAAAATTTGTAAAGCTTCTGATTTTAATTCATTCGCACTAGGTATCGTTGTGGCCATTTTTACCGGCGTTCTTAATTCTATTTATATTCAATACTTAAGACGCATAAAACTTATAAAAATCTTATACAATTCGCGTGATTAAATCTAAAAATTTAATTCTGAATATTGCATTAACGGATCTCCTAATTGTCTATTTGATTTAATGTGTAACAATTTAACAGTTCACTTAGTTTTTATGTAATCCGTAACGTACTGAAAATACTAATGCTCAACACACTTCGAATAAATTAATATCAACTCTCCGTTATCAATTGAACTTTGCTTATGTGTCTACTACATGTGTGTGACGGCACACAAGTATCTTTTTAATAATAATGCACATACCGTATATACAAACATGCGCGCCACAAATAGAATACGTTTAATAAAAGTGACGTTTGATGCATGAATAGTATGCTTTCACGCTGTTAAAACAATAATACATGACTGGTAGTCAGTTTAAAATGATATTTCTTTGAAATGTTAGGAATTTTTAATTGATAATTTAGTTTATTTAATTAAATACTTATTAATTTATGACAATAATCCCAAATGATAATGCCATGACGGTCTCGAATCCCCTCCTAAAAGAACTGAAAGGTAATTCAATAGCTTATCTTTTTTGTAGGTTAGAGAAGTATTTAAATCGTAAAATTACTGAATTAATATTATTTAATTAAAAACTAATATTATTATTCAAGTATGAATTGCTATTCTCAAATTCTAAAACATATTAAAAATTACAAACTGCTATACATGTTTCCATACATTCATTTTTATATTACTACTTTTGCCGAAATTATGTCTTTTCTCTTGTATATTATTTTTTTTTTTTTATTTCGAGCAATTTTAATCTCTCTCGAGATTATTTTGCATTACATCGTGTGTACAAAAAATAATCAAAGAGGTACAATGTTTTAGACAGATAGTTTGCAGCTTTTTAGTTGTATATTATTTTATTTTACAATTGTTAAAATATTTAAATTATAAAAACTATATTATACTTTCATTTGTATCCTTTTAATACATTTTACAATTAAACAATTATAAAGTTATATAATAGATGTTGGTAATAAATGAAAATATAACACTTATTTAATTTTAGGTTGGACACGAAAATTAACAGAAACAGACAAAGAAATTGATGATGAAAATAAGGACTTGGCTTTCTTTTGCAAAAGTCTAGAAAAATGTTTCCAAAAAGGTATATTAATGCACTTAAATCCTATAAACTTTCCAAAATTACCTGATGCTTGGTATTGGTTAGAAGAAATTGCAGAAAAACATTTTAGGTTTGTAGAAAAGGATATAATAAACAAAATTTCATGGAATTTAATGTTATTTTTACTATTGCTATATTTTAAAAGAGCAAAAATTTTTCTTAGTATTTTAATATTTAAACATAACATTATGTCAGTTCCTGTTGTACTTACTCTTTGGTGGTTGAACAAGTGAAAAATGTCCCAAAAGTATACACACCAACTGGGCATCTTAGGCTTTTAATTAGAACATGTTTGATGCGAAAATGTCTTCATATGCCAGTTGAAATGCTGGTATGTTAAAATTATATTTTTATTTAATATATGTATATTATTTGTGCTAAAATATAAAAAATTAATGATTTTTAATATAAGGTTTTTAATTCTTTATAGTTAATTTTATATTTATACAATTCTTGCAAACCTCTATAGGTCAGAACACCATTAATGGCTACATACTACTATGATAAAAACAGTATTCTGGGTGATAATATTCTTGGAGAAATATTTTTGTCAGTATTATTGCAAAGCAGTAAATTAAATTTTAAATTAAATTTAAGGAATTCTAGTTTTCTGGACGAATCTTGGCAACTTCCAGAATGTCTGGCATTGGAATTAGTACCATGTAAAAATTTAGGTATTTCTGTATGGTAAGAAATTTAAATTACTAAAAATAAATGTTTATTATGATAATAATATAAATATTTATATCATTACAGCTTTACCAAAGGAAGAGCTTTAATAATTAATTTGGACAAAAACTCTGTAGCTGCAGAAGATGTAAGAAGTACAATACTTGTTCTTCATTTATTTAAAATGCTAATACACTCTTTTTACTTATATTAAGGATAAAGTTGAAATTGGAGATGTATTGGATGAGATAAATGGAAATGCTATAACATCTAATACCAAAGGACAATTATGTAAATTTATGAAAAAATCTATTGGTCAACCAGTATGCTTACATGTCATTAAAGTATGCATTTTAATTAGCATAACATTTAATGTGTAAAGCTATATTTTTTACATCCTGCATTTTTAGCATCGCAATAAAAGAACACGTGAATTGTACGCGCCAATTGTGCACCTTATAAGAAGTTCTGGTATTGAAGGTCTAAAAAAAATCTTAAAAAGATTTAATTCGGAAATACATGATAGTGAAGGTGAAAAGTCTGAATTAGTTAAGCCAGAAAACAAATCGCTAAATGCTGGATTTTCCGTTAAATATTGTGGTTCCGTATATATCGGGACAGAAGGAGATGTCAAACAAATAGAAAAAGCAATTCTACAAGTACTAAAATCAGAAGAAGTAAAATCAGTGCCTGTGAAATTTGAATGTTTAGAGATAGGAATTAGAGTGACTCGAGATTCGGATGACATAGTATGTAAACATAAGTGTTGCTATATACAAGTATATGGTATTATAACGGTATATTCTATTTAAATATTTAGGTAATATGTAAACAAAGTTACATGGAAATTTCATCTTGCGGTCGGACTGGAAACATTCCTAATTATTTTGCATTCATTGCGGGGTAATACAAATAATATTGCTTTTTTTTTTTAATATACGTAAAAATAATACAATTTTGGCAAATGTATTTTTCATTGTCTTTACAGCGACACTATCTGCAATTTAGCAACCAAATTTAATGCATATGTGTTCTACCATTATAATGAAAGTGAGGTACAGACCATATTGCAAAGTTTGGGTCAAGGATTTCAGCGTACTCATTTTGCAGTTTAATTGTTTTTAATTAAATAAAAAGTTCTATAAATAATGATTCTTTGACAATAGAATCAAATTTTATGTTATAATATGTTTTTAAAACATTCCTATTTATATATCTAGTCAATTGCAAATAAAATGTATTTTCCATTTATTTTATTTCTGAAAAATTATTTTTTTTCTAATAAATAT